ATCGCTCCCTCTCCACTGATCGTCCTTCATCCCTCTCCATCACTCTTTCGTCATCACTGTTTTAACATTGCTATTTTTTCATAATTCTTTTTCCATCGCCCTTTTTTTCATCGATCAAAAGAGAACAATCGAATAAATTCCGATCGATCAACATAGGAGACCGATTGATTGATGTTGTGGATCGATCAATCGATGCAGTGGATCAATCGATCGATGTTGAAGAATGATTGATCATTGTCAGAACAATCAATGTTTTTGCTTCTTTGGCATTCCATACCTTGGCGCTCATTTTGATAGTACCGACTTAAAAATCTTACTGGCCTGAAGGACAGCTCCTTCTCAGCCACCCACGAAGGACCGGCATTCTCCCTTCGAAGCCACCCACGAAGGACCGGCATTCCCCCTTCGAAGCCACCCACTGAGGACGGCCATCTTTCCCCTACACAGCCTGAGAGACAGTCTTTTCAAGGATTCATCAAATTTAGAACAAACCAGGGTTTGTACAGTGCCCACAAATCACAAATTTTCTGCTTGGTTCTATTTCAAATTAACCGATGTTTTGGTTCCTGCTTGTTTGAAAGGTGAACCCAGGGTTACGTATTGAACTAAAGAAAGCACTTAACAGTGCATAGCATATGCAAATGTCCGTGTGCCCAAGGGCAGACTGCTAAAAATCACATCATGCCCACAACAGCCAGTACTACTCACCAGACTCTGCACGATAATTATGGAAGTGAAAGTTTAAAACCACAGAGGATTCTCATGCCCATATGCAACCCACTTGCATTAGTTTGGTATGAATTATATGGTACATGTATCACTGGTGAGTAGCATGCAGGAAGGTGGAGGCCAAAGAAGGGAATTTGCTCTTCCTTATAAGAGGAGAATTGTCGCTGCCCCCCCCCCAAAAAAACATTGATGTAACCATGCCTAAATAATAACCTTTTACAGTTCGTGAAATGCCCACTCTCTTTTTTGAAAACTTTTATAAAGACACAAGGCTCTGCCCTCTATTGATCCAAGGATAGGAAAAATCTGAACTGAAAACACAGCTATATAGAATACGGCAGTTATGGGACTAAACTCCCTCTGAAATTATTCCTTCCGGCAAACTGTGGTTTTAAAGAAAGAGGCCATTTCCAATGATACGTCTAAAGATGCATTTTTGGAAAATTGCCAATAGAAGTGCGTGCAAGCATTGAAACGACACACACATGCATTGCAGTTAGTCTAATTTGTTGGCTTTGTGTGTGACATTGCATAACTGCATTTAAATGAATGTGAGAGCATGTCTCCGACACTGAATTCAGGTGCAATTCAAAACCTGACTCAGCAACTTTTGGTCTGATATTGAAATCCTACAATACTGTTTATCACGAAATAAACAGTATTCGCTGAGCTGAAACTTTGTCAGGTTTGTAGGCACTTTCCTTTAGATTTTGAGTAATTTTGTTGCCTTAAAGAAACATAATGCACTGAAGAAAAATGGTGGACTGTACCGTTAAGTAACAGGCAAATTTTACAGTCAACTTTGTTGTTGGTACACAAGACAAAGATTTTATAACAAATGATGCATTTAAAGAAAGATCCCCTCTCATTTGAGAGTCAGCCAATAAGGACTGAATCCAACTCTCACCGTGTAGGTTCCATCTTTCATTGCAATGAGAATGACAGGCATGTCTTCATCCACTAGAGCCAATGGACCGTGTTTTAATTCACCAGCCAGAATACCCTCTGAGTGGAGGTAGCACAACTCCTTGATTTTCTGCAGTTACACCAGGGTGAAAGAATGTGGATAACTTTGTTGATTATTTCATGGACTTAGAATTTAAACACTCTAGCACATATGTTCAGGCAGAAAGTGGGTAGGATCTGTTCTGTACCCATAACCCCTTGGTGCACCCTTAACTCTCACCTATCCAGATGATTTCGAAAACAAGATTCCAAGATCTAAAATCCAACACCATGCAGTAAACAGGTTGAGAGATCTGACTCCCTCCTGACCTACCAATGCCCCTTCCAGACAAGTGGCAAAGTTGAAGCCCCTCCCCATCAGGAGAATGCTTTTCTCTTCTTGCAACTCCTCCGCAAGCTTCTTAATCTTATCGTCCATCAGCAGGATTTCTTTGATAAGGTCTAAAAAATAAAAAAAGAAAGGCAGCCCTGGTTCAATGAACTGGACCTCAAACTTAAGAAACTTCTGAGGTTAAAGGGTAACTGCAATGCAAGTTAAGACACAATGCACCGTTCCCAATAAACCTTAATTTCAATTTCTGTTTTATTATTATAAAGGGGTATCTTACTGCCTGGTAAAATATTTCCATAGCCATGAGCAAAAGTGTGTTTTCATCTTGGGATGAACACTGCAATGTTACAATTGTTTATGAAAAAAAATGCTTAATGTTTAATATGCTGGTGGTCTGAATTTTCTTCTCTCATTAAAGTAAATAGCAATAAGCCAGTGAGTCTGTGATGCAACCCATTTACAGAACAGGTTTCAGTGAGTAAATTCTGGGTTCACAATTTTACCAGAAAAACTCAAGCAATGAACCATTTTTCCATCAATGACATCACAGCAACAGAACCCTAAGTTGTCCAGGAAAGCATGGACAATTTTGAATGTTTAAAAAAAGTGTACTTTATAATACAGTTAACCTAAAAGGAATGTCAACAAGTTTTCGTAAACTGACAAGTGCAAAGTGTGTTTGAAAACTTAAACTGCTGCTACCTTTGAAAGGCAATAAAGTCATAACGACCTGTATACTGGAGTTCATACAGACAACACTAATCTGAGGGGTCACTTTTTCTGTGGGAATCATACACACTTGTCTTGTGCTTTCATTGACTTAACCACATGCTGCCAGATGATGTGCAGTGCACACATAGGGGCGAATTTCAAGATTTTCAGTTTTCAAAAATCTTCAAAAATTCATCATTTCAATTATAAATGGCTGTTTACACCCACCCACTACATCACTGTCTGGTGGCCACTGTAGCCTAACGGACAACATCTAATGACGCCCAAGTATTTCAGCCAGGCCTGCAGCCTTGTAAAAAGAGCCCAGATTATGTGGCGTTATATAACTTTCTTTTGTTCATGAACCTGACACAGTGCGCTGCTGCTGACCTCTTTTCAATAGGGGCCAGATTAGCATGCAGCGGTGCTGTGTGGCTCATCGCTGCGGTGGTGGCATGCTTTTGTCCCCGGTGGTAATCCGCTCGCACTAAAAGCCCAAAACCATGGTATACTGTTTCAAACAAGGCTGGATTATCTCCACAATTGAGAGTGAAAAAATGTCGGTAATGCTCAGCAGCTCAGTCTTTTGTGCCAAGCACTGTCTTTTGATACAAGGCCCAGCTCTTTTGTCCCGGTTTCGGGCTCCCCGGCTTCATGTATAAAGCTTATGTGCTTGAAAACAGGTCCCCCGGCAGCAAGTGGTTAAGATGCAAGACAGACAGACAGCCCAACAGACAAACAACAAAAACAATGTAGTTACACAAATGTTACTTATGAATTACAGTCATAATCAAGTGAAAACATCAGACAATAAGGGACAACTGAGAAATTTAAATTCATACATAGACATCGTTTAACAAATATTTTAAGAAAATAAAATTAAAAAGTACATTTTGTCTTCTCCTAATTCTTCTCCCTCCTGTTCAAGTTGTAGAGTTTTTCTGTACAGGGCCCTTTGAAAATTAGTATTATCATTAAAGTTACACCAAGCAAAGACCTGAATGGGTAGATACATATACTTCTGGAACAAAGAAAATCATGATGATATCATCACAAGTCAAGGAAATACCCTCAAAGTTGAATTCTTTGCAAGTAATATCAAATGAACTTTAATACCCAACTGGGTCAGAACTTGGCAAGATACAAAGCAAGATATGTATATGTACTTGGGGAGCTCATGAATTCGCGGGTGTAGCCATGGGCAATGGTGGCGAGGACCCAGTTGTTCGCAGTGATTTCCAACCAGAAGCCGATGAAATTGCTCAGATGACCGCAGACGGGTTTAGGATCAGTGGCTGCCAAAGGCAAAAGGGAGTGGTCACCAGCGCAATCCCCCGAAGGGACCGGGGACGCAGGGTGTGAACCCGCGGCCAGTAGGACATGGCTGGAATCTTTTAATAGTGGTCGGGGAGCAGAATTCAATGGGGGTCTGATGGCCGAGTTGCTGACCAGAGCTGGCACTAAAGAAGTGGCCTGAAGATGGGGGCAGACCTGCCTGTCGTCTCAGTGGCAGCAGTGGCTACTGGCATAGAGGAGCAGCGGGTTCACAGAGTGAGATTTTCTTGGCGGTCTCCATATGCTTTACCTCTGACTCAAGGACCTCGGTAAATTTCCTGACGAACAAGTTGTCTCCGAGAAGCGGCAGATCCAGCAGTTTGTTCTTGACTGACTCATAGGGAATGTACATGGCGTCCACCGTGTTGGCTCCACGGCTGGAAGTGGCCAGAAGTTAAATGCAGATGAACTGTTCAAAGACGGAGTTAAGTCCCTCATCAAACCTACACAGGGCAAGGGCCATAAAAATCAGGTGAGACCGAAGAGACCCAGGCAATATATTACGAGAGGAGGAAGAGGAAGGCTGAACATCGGAGGCCAAAGCGAGAAGCCATACCCAGGCGACGGTGAACTGAGTTGAAGTTGGCCCTGTCCTTATCCCAGAAGGTGTTGCGTTTGCCGGAATGGGACGAAATATTGTCTCTGACAGCATCCAGGATATCGGAGCTGACAGGAAGCGAGAGATGTCCTCCTGGAGAAAGCAGTATTAAGCCCTAAGAGGACTTGCGCACCAGCCCTAAGCCTTTGCAAGAGCATTCATCATCTCCACACAGGAGCGATCCAGGGAAATCTCCGGGAAGACGGGCTCAGCCGACTTGAGGTGCAAAGGGTGATGCTTAAACAAAGTTTGTCCTTGCTCTGCAGGTGTAGGGTCTGACAACGGGAGCCCAAGACCGTGGATCATGTCACACTCAAGGCGGAGAAGGCAGCCCTCGAGTTGAGTCAGGCCAGCAATAGAGTCAATGTCATCATCCTAGGAAGAGAGCGGTAGAAGGCCCGCAGAGGGGAAAGGCGAATGGTGTTCCGAATGGACAGAGTCACCACGATCTGGGACATGATCCGAAGCCGGGTCCCGCTGGGGAACAGGTCGGGCTGGACAACAGAGACCACTTCAACCTCTGAGAACACCGCTTGGGAGGTAGGAGGGATGGCCGGAAGGGGATCCGGGTCGGGTGCCGTCACTGCTGGCTGAGGCTTGGGGTCTATCTTGCAGGCCAGAGGGGTTAAGTCCTCCAAGAGGGACTGGAGGGTCGCCATCCACCGGGTTGGATCCGGATCAGAGCAGCGTTTCTTCTTAGCCTTGCACTAGGAAGAAGCCAAAGGAGATGCCCTGGTCTTGCGCTTCTTAGCCTTCACCAGGGCAGGGGAGCCGGAGGCCGGGACCATTGGAGGTACAGCCAGGCGGGGTCCTCCAAATGGTTGGTCGTATCCTGCGAGGAGCATCTTGGGTCAGGATCAGTGGCCCCATGGCCAGAGTCCATCGGCAGACCGGAGCTGCGGATGAGGTGCAGCAGATGAAAGCCCCAGCGGCATAGCAGTCCAAAGGGGCTAACATCATCCTATGCAATGAGAGGCTGTGCCCGTGTTGTATCGCGGACTCGCCCGTGGCAGAAGCAGTGGAGCATGGCAAACCCGCTGTGGAGCCTGTTGCCCGCTTGGAGGAGGTTGACTGGCCCAGCTTCTGAACGGACGATGCCCGGCGAGCAGAAGCCGGTGAGGGACCCGGGGCACCCCGTCACCCCGCGAGCCCCACAAGCTCATTGGGCCATTGGTTAGTAGAGTCGCTCGGGGATGTGGTAGGTAGCGACACCTGGTACCTACAGCACGGAGAAAGGATCAGCTCTTTATGCTCTGGTCAACCGTGACCAAGAGTAATGTTGCAATACAGCACGTTCAGCCCCGTTGGTAGGTGTATGGAGCAGTCACCAGTGATCAAGGGTAGTGTTGCAGCATAGCACCCTCAACACGATCAGTTCCAGTAGTGGTTGTCGGTGCTCAAGGGTAGAGTTGCGGCATACATGTAGCACGCTCACCCCGATCACGTAGATAAAGGTCCGGGGTAGTGTTGAGGCATAGCACGCTCAACCCCGGCCTATACACTCCACGGGGTCTTTCCCTGACACGCTCGTTAATCTCGGACAACGCAAACTGCACCACAAAGGAGCAGGCCAGCCCGCCAAGCCCCACTCCATGGCCAGGCCCATACAGCAGAACACAGTGGGCCATTATTGTTTGAGTGCACACACCACACTGAGAACAAAGGGCTGCCCGTGAGCCCTATTCAACAGCTATACACAACTAACAACGGTAGGTCACACCCAAATCTGTAGATAATGCACAGAAAAAGGGGCAGAAAAGAACAAAAATACAAAATACGAAAATAAGCACTCTTACCAAAAGATGAAAAATCAGACGGCGAATGGGTAGTATACGTTAATGGTCCAACATCCGGCCTTCTCTTTGTCAGAACCGTATCGAATATCGGGTCATTGGAGTCGATTTTTTTGTACCTTATTTTAACGGCCGTGGTAAGTTAACATAAAGGATTTTTTTATCGAGTACTGTTAATCGAGTAGGAGTACTTTGATGCTCGAGTACAATTTTTGGATGTCGAGTTCCGAGTATTTTGTAGCCCGAGCACAAGAACTGTAGTTCGAGTATGAGTACTTGGACGTCCGAGTACAAGTACGAGTATGAGTACTCTGAAAACGGTACTCGAGTGCGAGTACCGAGTACGAGTACTACAACACTGGCCATCATATGTCTGAACACGTGCATGTGCCGAGATTTGCGGTGTCAAACTTGTTATCTGTTTTTCGATGTGTTTGCTTTTTTATCAAGTTTTCTCGCATGCATTCCCTTTGCTATCAACGCCAATAACCAAACATCCAAACCAACAGGGGCTGGGCATGGACTGGCAGTCATGGCAGTGACCAGTTTAGGCCTGGGTAAATAGGAAACAGCCGCTGGATCTCAACTCCTGGTGCTCTATTTGCATAATGTGAGGTCACGGCTTGGGGGTCACAACCTTGACACCATAATGATTTGAACTGTCAACGTCAACCTGCACGAAAGGATGAAGTTCAAAAATGAGCTCAAAATTTCTCAAAAAGTATGAGGTAAGATTATGTAGTGGAGGATTGTCTCATTGAATTAATTGATTGAATGGGTATGGCATACATCAAGCACCTCCAATCATGAAAATTCTTTCATTTCTAAGCGCTTGAAAAAGTCCACATAAATTTTGTATATGGGCATGTGGCTGTAGGGGAGCGCAGCATACAATAAGCCACATTAATGGGGCTTTGTAGAATCAACGTTGGCAACCTATGAGCATGCACGTACAAAGAGAGAGAGAAAAATACCACACAAAATGACAAATATTTTACACATTTAGAGATAAAATGTAAATATCCAGAAACTACAGTTTATTGTTTATACGTTACAGTTGATCAGGATACCACAAGAAGGCGGAGCGAGAACGGAAACTTGCAAAACCCAAGAAGACATGTCCGTTATCGATGACACCAAGAAAAATAATGAACATGGCAGCGGCACCACAATTCATTATGGGAAAAGAGGGTGCGCTACAATTGATCAAGTGTTTAGCAAATAAAATAAGGCGCAAAGGAAATTTGCATATTACAGGGACTGTTTGGTTTAGAATAAAAGCAGTGGACTTTGTGTCATTGATTTTATTCTTGAAATTGATATTTTTGTTAATGAATATGTTGGCCCTACATTCACTGCGAGAAGTTGACACATCCATTTGCCAGTAAACCTCTTATTACACAAAACACTGGGGAAACCTGATTTGAATAGACAATAATTGTGGCTCTGTAGGATGTTTTCAAAGGGAAGTCCAACATTTCAACAGGGGATGCTTCCACAAGACAAAACCAGTCTCCTCTCAAGAACCATTTTCCAATAAGAATGTAAGTGGTGCATTTTCAGACACTTGAGTAATAAAAAGCATTCCACTCAATGCGTGCAGGGAGCTAAAAAGCTGGCAATAGACATGATAAAGAGATATGAATGAGTTCATGCATGTACAGGACAAACGGACAGTAGACTGGTTTTCAGTAAAGCTCAACTATATCCTTTCTACTTGGTTTTGTTGTCATGGTTGTGGTTGGGTATGACCAAACCATGTCAAAGCTTTTCAAGAATGCAGATCAAAAACTTGACAGCATCAGTAATGGTTATGTAGGACTTAATGGATTTCCACACTAAGTAAAGTGCATTTTGGCCAACTTGGCTGTGCAATAAGGTTTTCTCAAAGGGCACTGCTGTTCGTGCATTGGGGCATCGTGGCAATGGCCACTGATGTTGAGATCGAAACCTGTCACATGACTTGCCTCCAAAGTGGAATTCTTTCCAAGTCAATATTTCCAGAATCATAAATCCACCTTGGAAGTAACTTCAAAGTTTCAGTCAGGAGGGATGTGGTACAAGTAAAACTTGGGGTGATGTTTTGATGATGTCATGTTACAATCTTTATGGTGATATTTTAAGGTCCTATAGCTAGAAAGGTTTTGGGATTATTTTTATGCGCAAGTACATGGTGATTTGTAATAGACCAAAATTGAGACCACGTTATCATGACATCATCACAGGTCACATCATTTTAATAGTGCATACTTTAATGTCCTTCATACAATGTCAGCATTTCCCTTTCATCTGATTGATAGATTGTTGATCACGTCACTGAATTATTCTATTCCATGGTACCCATTGAATAGAACTTCACTTGACTAATTCCTGCCCCCAATTTATTTCATTCCCAATAAGAAAAAGGAAAATAATGCGGGGATGGGAACCAGTCTGACATTGTAAGGTACTATGGGTGGCACTCCAGAAACGTTAAGGTGCAAGGACATTTTGTCCCAACAGAAGAGGATTTAAACGGGTACTGTATAACACAAATAGTGAATGTTTCACATTTGTGCAATGACAAGAATGGTTCCATGAGGTGAAAGAGGAACTGTTCCCTTCACGAGCCGAACACTCATGAACATTCATTTTTTGTGTAACTAAAGAACTGTCAGTCTGATTGGGTAATCAATCTTGTTATATAGGTAGACTGAAGGTGATGTCTTGGTAAAGTCATCTTAAAGGTGCACATTTGAAGGGCTTATAACTGCAAAAATAAGGGTCTGATTGGGTTCAACTTTGACTGAAAAGCAGAATGAACATTTCATTGTAATGCTTTTTCTACTTTTCCACTACCAGAAGTGCAGATTTTACGTTTCCTCTGTTCGCTGGCAGCTGCAAAGTGGCAATCTGCTTTTTGCTTGTCAATAAAGGAGGAAAGTGGATCAACTGTTTTTACAACTGTTCATTCTCCTTTGCTGCTTTCAGGATACTGGGAAAGCAGATTTTACTAAAAGGCAGCCAGAAAGTGGCCATCTCCTTTCTCCTTTCGGGAAGGCAGGAAAATGGATTGAATATCTTGACAACAACCGTGAATTGAACTGTTAAGACTTGAACAATTACATTTTCTTCGGGTACATTTCTGTCAAACCCAGTCCAAAATACCACTCAAGATGATTTCAAGACATTTGTCAATATATCACAGTGGCATCACAGAAATGTTTCGCTGCCTCGTGGGCTGTTTGACCTTTGACATCAGCCAAGATAGTGTGCCACTTTTCTCTTCAATTAGATATTCATGAGCCTCCAGGGAAGTGCAAAGTTTCGGGATTTTCTCTTTGTACCAAGGTTTCTTGAAAGAAAATCTGTCAAACTTAACTACAGTACATTTACAAAAAAAATGTGCAAAACATAAGATACATTTCATGATGAAAATCAAATGCTCTTAGTTCCTGATTTTGATGTAATTTTGAGTGGGGATATCTCCAAAACTAACGGCAAAATGAACATTGAGCATGGAATTTCTAAGCATGACCTGTGGCAGTGCTTTCAGTAATATTGAATCTCACGCTGTCAAAATTCTCGAATATCATCAAAATTCCATCAAATGTGACGTTTGCAACCAATATGTTGTACTGATATATTTTTGTTGCAGCCAAAAATTTTCAGTGGTTGAAAGGTATGAGACCTGGCAGATATGCTGGTATAGTGGAAGTGATTTCATACAGTAAGAGAATGAAGAGAACCAAATATTTCTAATTGTTTTCGGCCAATTTGTACTATTATGCATGGCTCAATTTTTTAAAGTCTTTCCAAGAGGCTTTATGTTATGTTTGTGGAAAAATATACCGAATTTTCTTTGAACAGAGAGGTTTTGCATTCAAGTTGTCTAGTACAAACACTCTGACTTAAAACTTTAAATGCGTTCAGATCCATTTGCTTTGCACTGGTAGCCAACCAAATGTCTACAAAATGCACACAGTCTGCTTCATTATTCCCAAATGATCATTTTTAAGGTGCAAATTTGCATTTTAAATTATCGAAGTCACTCTCTTTGAAGTTTTCAAAAATGATGTGGAGTTGTATTTTGCTTAATTTTGGAAGAATAAGCCACGTGGTAATAAGTCCAAGGTCTTGATCTTAGTCTTGAATTGGGATCCTGAGATCTCAATCTTTATTTGGGCCCACTTTAATACTGCCTTAGAGAACACAACATTTTCCAGAAATCCTCTATTACATAAGTCATTTCTCTGTTTGGGGGAAATGCTTAAATTACTGTTTTACACTCTTGCATAAGTTTCAGTTACTCAAGACCTAGAAAATCTTTGATCTTTCTTTTCATAAAAGAATACAGTCCACCCTACCGGGTAATCTCCGCAGATCAGAAATAATGGCCTTCCTTCTCTCCACTCCTGACAGGCGGTCCTGGTTCATCATGAGTGCAAACATGACCAGTGAAATGAACTGACTGGTGTATGCCTGCCGACAGGAAAAAAAGGAACATGCAGTTTATGTGAAAGTATCTTAAGTATTTAATAACTTCATCAACTGCAGTTTCAAAATGATATTTTAATACTCTATTGAATTGGCTTTGCTCTGAAATTCAAATACAGCATAGCTAGGTTTGGGAAACATTTATGACTTTCCAAATGTTCCTGAAGAGTTATCATTTTAATAATAGCCTTAAATGCACATGGATTAGAGCTTATAGCTTATAGAGGGCTTTAATCCTATTCAAGCTGGGCTTTTAAGGAGAATGTTTTCGACAGGGACAATTTATTTCACCATGCAACTTAGATCTTAGATCTCCAGGGCCCCATTGATGAGCGACACAGCACTGCTGCATGTCAATCCAGCCGTGTTTGAAAAGACGCCACTCGCACTCACTCGGAACAAAGGAAATTATGCAACACCTCACAATCTCTGTTTACAGGGTGGCAGGCCTGGCTGAAATATTCAGGAGTCAATGAAGACTACCGGTCAGGTTAGAGTAGCCACCAAAGAGTCATTCATGTGGGTGTAAACATCCATTAAATAAAATGATGAATTTTTGAAGAGTTTTGAAAAGTGAAAATCTTGAAAATTACCTGTATTGTGTGCACTACATTTTTAAAAGCACCCAGCAGCATGTGGTTAAAGGTATATCTCCCTGTGAAAAAAACCTACTTCTGTACAAATTTTGTTTGTTTCGTTCTGATTCACAAGCATGAGCACAAATCAACAAGATGCCCCTCATGCAATTCATTCAACCCATCATTCAACCCAACATGAGGCAAGTATGCAGATATGCCGGCCCCGCGCCGCAGCTAGCTTGATCAGTAATACGGTCCTTCATCATACATGACCGCCAGGTACCAGTGTGTTTAAAAGCTCTGAGCACGCTGGTGCCTTGGGTTCTTTGTATTGCACGTTATGTCTCATTGGGGGAATCCCTTTCAGCAATGCATCAGGTTTTTACACGTTCTATCGAAAAGATCCTGTCATAATTGCTTTTTTCACGCTGAATTGACACATACTCGTGGGAAAAGAGGAGTGTAACAATATTTTTGAATCAATGAACATGTGTTAAGCATTGATTTTGCGTTTAAGTTCGGGAATGATTCCTGATTGACCTCGACAAGAAAAGTCCACGCGAAGGCAACTCATATAAGCTACATGTGTGAGATCTCAAGCAAAAAGGTACAATGTACATGTGTAGGTTAACGCATTATCATATATCCATGGAGGAAACCATATTTGAGTATGAAAAGGCTGATTTATTACCGACAAAAAACAAAAACATTCATATTTCATTCAAATACATTTTTCTGATTACATGTACAGTACTTATTTTCCACTTTTTCAATTGCAGGCTCACCGGTGCATGAAAAGGATTAACTAACAGACGCACTGTTAAAAATTTTCTTCTTGTAAAATGCAGTTTTCTGTAAATGTATCATGAAATAACAGAGAATCTCTGTAACAGACTTGGTAAATCAAGCTTCAATCAAGCTTGGTAAATATACATTTTTTCTCTGTAATATGAATGAACCTATTAAATTTGCATATTCACTTCATTGCGCAAAGCCAGTCCCGTGAAGCTGTCTTTTACAGAATTATGCGGCCATGTGTTAATTAACTGGGTACTAAAAGATCATCATCCACATCAATTTTCAGGCGATTCGGTCAAACTTCGCCAAAGACATCTATTCATAATTCATTTTTCAGAATGTTCAACCTGTCACTAGAGGGCGCTTGACAATTACATGACGTCACCAGTAGATGATTTGAAGAATACTATACCCCAACAGACTAACACCGTTGAAACCTGACACCTATTACAACTTTTAAGTAATAACCCACTTCCGGTTTCAACTGGAAGGATGGGTCACGTGATTCAACCACACAAGATGAATTTAAGACCCAATTTTACTCTGGTACTTGCCACAAACAGAATGCTGTGGGAAGCCACGGTTGATTTTATATGGATTTTTACAACATTAACATTCTATTTAGATATTCAAATTTTAATTTAATCACTTGGTGACGTCCTCATGACGTAATTGTTTTAGTATTTTCTTTGCTTCCAGGTCTTTCCTTTGTGTAACTTTGAGGACGACTGAAGATCACTAAGTTACCAACATTTTGCCTTGAAAACTTGTACAAGGTCAATGGGTTGAGATAAATATTAAAAAATCAATAAAAAATCACTTGATGATGTCATCATGAAGGCACTGTTCTATGCACATCTATAACCAAGGTCCTTCATTGATGTAAAATGATGAAGATCCGAAGTTGCAAAAGGACCAAAGTCGATGGTGGAAGAAACGTGCACAAAACAAATGGGCTTTTGGTCAGAAGAGCAAAAAGAATGACCTTTTCGCAACTTGCAAAAAAGCCAACAAGAAGAAGGAAGAAAACAAAAAGGATGCCTTTTTCACAAGATTGCAAAAAAGCCAAAGCCAAAAAAACAATCTTAAGGAAAATAAAAGCTGCTAAACATTTCTTGATTCCTGTTCACTCCCCAACAAAAATTCAATAGAGCAAAGTCTCGTCTTCATGTTTGCTGCATGGATTTATTAAGAAAGGGTGTTGTGCATATTAGATATCCAATATTATGATATACATGTACATGTATGATTGATATGATACGATGTGTGTGACTGTAGGGGCATTCAAACACAGCATTAACAGGTAGTGTATGTTCCCAATATCATTTTTACATATGGTACTAGGATGCCAACATGCTTACAAAATATACTGGAGCCAGGTGGGAATTTCCCTGTTCTTTCCAATGGGTTTCTTAAATTTGATAACATGATCAACATCTCAATTTGTGTTTTACAATGAACAAAATGAGTAACTTTGTTTTATTTCATTTAACCAGTGCCATGTTCATTTGCTTATTCTATGACGTACATATATGTTGAAATTATTTTATTTTGTTTCGGTGTTCATTGTATCTTCCATCAAAGTAATAATCTTGTGATGTGAGTTCACCATTACTTAATTGTTTGTAATATGTAGGGTCCCAATGGAAACCCAGTTTTTAACTGTTTGGGCATACCCTTGGTAAAGAAATGGAATAAACGACTAAATGCAGATTGCACAAGCACAAGGTGTTTTAAGACTTCCGAAGGACCTTTAGTCAAGATATGCACAGTGTAACTTGTAAAATAAGGCAAATTATTAATGCTGCACTCCAAATTTAAAACTTGGCACCAGCTTTTAATGCTTAGTGGCTACTTTATAACCATGGTGGAAGTCAAATTTTATCTTGGTGGGTCAACAGGCTGCTTCTATGAGTTAGAGACCATGGTATATCCAGTAAGACTAAGACTAAGTATATCCTTTTGGCCAAAATATACACAGACAAGAACAATCTGCCTTTAAGGCAATGTCTGACCTTGGTACTGGCTACGCCGATTTCCGGTCCAGCATTGATGTGAACACCGCACTGAGTCTCTCTGGAGATTGTGCTACCAACAGTATTGGTAATTCCAACCAGAAGAGCGCCATGTCCCTTGCAGTAACGTAGGGCATTCAGAGTGTCTGCAGTTTCACCTATATGCAACAACATGAAGGACATACGCTGCTTTACATGCATACATCCATTATATTTTGTTTCTAAATGACCTTAATTCAGCCTATGATGGCTGTTATGTATAATGAAAAACCAATAAAAAAGGCTCATTCTGTGCCACATCATACAAAATCAGGGCACCGCACTCATGTGACTTGACTCCAATTTCCCTGAAAACATTCGAAGGAAAACAAAGTTTCAGCTTTATATCTTTAACCATTTTCTTTTCATAGCCTCTTTTCCACTTTTCTGCACCCAAGAACCCTTTGATTCGGTAGCAGCTTTGAAGGCTTATCACTTTTCCTAATTACAGTGGAAAGTCAAGCATTAATATGACATACACTTCATGTACATGTAATGCCTATATTTTAGACTCTCCAGTAAGCACTGGAGCATCTAAAATCCTTAATTTCTACATGTACGCTGTACAATTTACTTCTGCAACATCTGGTAGTCTTTGATATTACTTCTTCAACTATGCATCAACATATTTTTAAGTTGATCAGATTTTCAATGGAGGTGTAGTGGAGGCCCAAACATAGCAGAGAGACAAAAACAACCTCAACTGAACAACCCTCAGTTCACACCATTGTTTGACTTGTCATGCCTGTGAGCATATGGTGGAAATTTGAGCTTTAGACCACATAAAGCAACATGATTTAAAGGGAATAATTTTGTGCTTGGCCAGCATTTTCAGCATTCAGTCTCCTGAGCCAGTTTTAAAGGTTAGTTTAAGACAGGCCAAGCACGAATTCATTCCCATTCATAAATACTGTTTAGTCACAGAGTCAAAACTAATCAATATAATGAAGGATTTCCAATGTTTTTGTTCTAGAATTTTACCTTCATTTTCCCAAACACATCTGTCCATTTTATGGTATGTTCCTTGTGCAAGTTGTCCAAAAGAATCTCCTTTTTCATACATGGACTTGGCAAGTGTGGTGAGCCACGTGCACACAGACTCTTGACCAATCAGAGTTGATTAAACTGTGTCGTTATCCAGGTGCCAGTGTGTGATTTACGTAGCAAGCATTATCACTTCTCAACAGACATTATCAAATTTTAATACACGGTCATGCAGCACTTTGTTGAATAAGGAGACTGTCTGAGGTATCTATGAATACCATTTTGATTAATTTTGCTAGGAGGCTGATTTATGCTGTCGTGCTCGAACTTTCAGAAGAGTTCAGAAAGTTGATCACTAATAAGATGATTATTGGCCTTCAACAACTAACATCCAGTATAGTACACTCACAGTCCCAATCCCAACACTTGGACAACAGATGCAGTCTCCATACATTTGACAAACATGTTCAGATACAGTTGGAACGCTGCAAGATACTCCTCGTCGCCGCATTCTAACCCTGCCAACCTTGCTTTTTGAGCAAGACTGATCTTCTGATTCACCTGCCAATGATACTGCCTCTCAGAGTACATATGCTGCCTCAACCTTGCTCCACGATTCCACCACCAGATCCAGAGACACTGTTGACTTATATTGTGTACTGGTACAAGATGAATTAATGCGTGTAGTTTTGGCCCATGGTAGGAGAGCAGATAAAAGTTGAATGAGTTGCATCCTTAATCAGCACCATGGAACTATATCAACCAGACAGACCATGAGCCCGGAAAGCAACCATGCTATGGCCAGAATAATATTGGCAGGAAGGAAAAGTGTTACGCACTCTATAAGGTTTTGAATTCTTCTCTATGCAGGCATAACCACGCCTGAAAAAGATCAAATTGTACTCCTAGATAGACTAGCTGAGTGGAAGGTTCCAGCTGGGACTTTTTGGATTGATTAGGAAGCCAAAGTGAGTTCTTCTGTTAGTCTGACTGCCTTCAGGGCCTCTGGTAGATCCCTCGACAAGCCAATTGTCAAGGCAACCAAAGACATTAATGTTCAAATTTTCACAGAATTAATGCAACTGTTTTTGCTATTCTGGTGAATATCATTGGGCTGTTGAAAAACTGCAAGGAAGGTAACTGAATTCATTTTTCCATTGAACAGAAACTGAAGGATGTGACATGGTCTTACAGAATGAGACATGCAGGTATGTATCCTCCAAGTCTAGGGAGGCTACCTGAGCTGGAAATGGCAGGGCATCCAGAACTGTACGCAGTGTCTCCATCCTGAATCCTTTTGGCTGCATGTATCCATTCAAGGGCTTCAGTTTCAGTATGGGACACCATTCACTGCTGTTAGAAAGAATGAGGTATCACCAAGCTGGACCAGGTGGACTGTTTGCTTCTGAAGATTTGAGTTTTGTTTTCTAATACTAGATGATTTATTTGTCTGCCACAATTGGAGTCGAGTGTGAAGTAAAGCTCAATGCCTTAAGGTACACTCGTGCTTTCTAGGGCATATGCCCCTGTGTGCTAGTGCCAAGTACCAACTTGTCTTGACAAAAAGGTCCCAAGTCTAAATAAAATTTTTTAGATGACCTCCGACCAGCTCCAGATAATAGACCATGGTGGTTGAATTTATGCCAATGTCCAAAGCGGTAGCTGGCATAACTTGTTTTAAGGCTAGGAGTGTACGAGAGGTTTATCGTAGGTCTATCTGTTTAGACGGTGGTTGGAAAGGCAGGCTTGGCCATGCCCATGAAAGAGCTTCAGGGGTTTACAAGAAACCAGTGGCTACTGGTTGTAGTAGGGAGTCTATTTCCAATAACCACATCTGACCGTATGAGACATAGCTGGTATTGCAAGAAAATCATCAAAATTAGACTGCGGTACATGAAATGGCCAAATATCTCTTGCTGTGAATGCACACCACCTCTTACAGGCACCAGTGTTTGGATTTGATCAGCACAACACGGATCAATCGGAAACTCTAGAAAAATTCTGGTCCCAAAAGTTAGCTCAGCAATCACTTTGTTCCAGAACAAGTTCATCTGCTGACCATGTGTTGAACACTCAGACTGTGTCTTTTATCAGTGCATGCACCGTTTGGCCAGAAATAGAAAGGGACTGCAACGGAGAAGACTTGTTCTTGATAAAGCAGCCGTGGGGAGTTGGGGAATGTTGCTATCCCTGCAATGTTTGTGTTCAGCAGTTTGACCTTTGTGACCCTAAGCTGAAGCTGCAGGACTGTCCATAGCTGAATGGGGGCATGGTCAGTTGTCGGAATCCCAGGGCAAATTGTCAAAAGGAAAAACTGGGGATTGTATATTTGGGGATCCTAAGTTTTTTATCATTTTTACAAAAGTCAGTCTAAAAAGGTGTGCAACCTTGGGCAATGTTACCTTAATTATGCTGACCTTATTTCTTATAAATTCAGCACAGTAAATTAAGAGAAAACACAACTTTCTTACTTGATTTTGTACAGGGCAACGTGAATTGCATGCACCGCACGGACAGCCCAGAACTCTTCTCAACTTCCTCCCAGTGGTTTCAAGCTTGATACAGTAGGTTCCCGTTCCCTACACAACACTTTGTGCATGCACTATGCTATTTCAAGCTTGGCTTCTAAACGAAAGCAGCTAGGCACAGTGCTCAACATATGGGGAACAAGGTTGCTTCTTTTTCACTCTCGACCAATCAAAGATTGAATTTTTAATGGAACTTTTTTGCAACAAGCGGCCACATTCTACCAAACCAGCTTAGAAACTGCACAATGTTTATTTCAGTGCATGTGTGTGCATGTTTCATGCTGCGGTCATCATTTTTACCCCTTAATTTTCCTACAAAGTCAAGTCCCTACCCTCTTTCCACAGAATTAATCTCAGAGTTACTCAACATGGAGTCATTTTTATCTCCTTAGGAGAGTCCAAAAGCACCAGTATAGAAATCATTTTCCGTTCTGTTATAGGAATAAGGTTTGCGAATATAAAAACCCTGATAACAGTGGCGTAAATCTGTGCCGGAAATGGGGGATGGGGATGTGGAAAAGGTGGGGGGATGACTCGCTAAGACCATGACAATTTGAAAAGCAGGGGGACAGGGAGGGAGAATGACACCATACATGTACATGTATGACTCTATGCAGAGGTACATGTACATGTATGACTCTATGCAGAGGTACATGTACATGTATGACTCTATGCAGAGGTACATGTACATGTATGACTCTATGCAGAGGTACATGTACATGTATGACTCTATGCAGAGGTACATGTACATGTATGACTCTATGCAGAGGTACATGTACATGTACGTGTATGACTCTATGCAGAGGTACATATACATGTACATGTAGATGTTTGTGATATTGATGTACATCTGTAATGTGTATTCAGCGTGGTACATTTAAGGCTTTGTTTTCCCTTTTTTGAGTGATATTGAATGCATTTTAGTCGTTAGAAGTCTCAAAAATTCTTCACAGTCTACTTTAACTTTTTGCTCAACACAAAAAAGGGGGGGAATACATAACCCTAGCTGGATTTACGGCCATGCCCAATAAACTGATTTATCCAACTCTGATGGTGAACTACAATATACTGTATGGGGAAAACAGTCATTGTGCTCAATGTAATGGAGCATTCCCCATCAGTTTGGGAACCAAGGATGCTATTGTGACCGATAACGAATAAAAGAACTGTACGACTGTTGTTTCACGCTCTCCAACCAGGACCTGCGGCAATGTGGATGGGAACCCCCTAGATAGCTTGAACCTGGCTCTGATGGACTAGAGCTGGAATTTTGACACAGGTTTTTTTGTGGTGATGGCAGGAACATGTACCCTGGGCCACTGTCTCTCTCTGGCTCCAGTGAGTACCAGGTGATCTAGTTTCCATACAGGTCAGGTCTGTATCCTAGGAATTATAGGGTTCTCTCAGTCGGGATAGGTGTCTCCGGCACTGAAGGCTATATATGGCCCAGAAGATGTCTGTTCATCTCTGGAACGGCACACTTTGCCGAGGGTAGGGGTTGGAAGTCCGGAAGAAGCTGGTCTTTAATCTCTCCCTGAGGTCGTACCAGAGGCAAGAGACCAGCAACTGACTTCACAAAATGTGGCATAACTTTGAACCATACCTAA